ATATCAAATTTGCCCAAGCATCTGGAAGTGTATCATTCGGGTTAGCTTCTACTATTTTTTCTCCACTTGCACTACCAGCTACAGCAAACTTATCTGCTAATTCACTTACAAGGATTGTTGTGCTACCACCACTATCCTTCACACTAAATATTGCTTCTGCTAATGCTTTTCCCTTATCTACAGAAGTTGCTACATTTGTACCATCAAGTTTAACAAACTGACCTACATCAACAGCACCAGCTTTAGTTAACCTTTCTTCAAGGATTGTTTGTTTAGAATCAGTACTGCTCTTAACATTAAGAATTGCGTTTAGCAATGCTGCCCCTTGCTCTGCATTTGTACCATCAAGTTTAGCAAAATCATTTAAAGCAGTTTTGTCAGCCTTATTATCTAAGTCAGATGTGTTAGCCTTACCATCTAAAGCAGTTTTGATTGCACTAGTATCTTCAGTTGTGAGCCTGGTTGAAAATTGTACTACATCAATGTTACTAGCATCTTTGTGGGCAAGTTTAGCTGTTTCTTCTGTCAGTTTTGTAGTTGTAGCAAATTTGCTTTCTAATTTAGTTGCAATAGAATCTACGTCAATATCACTAGCATCGTTGTTAGCAAGTTTAGCTGTTTCTTCTGTAAATTTTGAAGTCGTAACAACTTTATCTTGCAACTTACCTAACATAGCAGCTACTCCAGCATCAGTGGCATTTGTACCATCAAGTTTAACAAGTTTAGCCGCTAGTGTATTTGAAAAAGGCTCCACTTCAATATTGCTACCAGTTTTGTCAGCCTTACTTTCTAAAGCAGTGCTATCAGCCTTCTTAGCTAATTCAGTTTTGATTGTACTGCTACCTTCAGTTGTTAGCTTACCTGAAAACTTACCTACGTCAATATTTGAACCATCAAGTTTAGCAAAACCATCTAAAGCAGTTTTATCAGCCTTATCAGCTAATTGAGCTGTAAGTGCCTTAGTCGTAATAACTTTATCTGTCGTCAACTTTCCTAGCATAGCAGTTACTCCAGCCTCAGTGGCATTTTCACCATTAAGTTTAGCAAGTTTACCTGCTAGTTTGTCAACCAAACCGTTTGTAAATTCTGTGTAATCTAATAAGTCTTGTACGGTAACATCATTCAATGTAGTGCTCATATTTGCTAGTGTTGTCATGTTAATCTCCTTTAATTATAAAACTATTATATATATAAAAAACTGTGTAATTTCTGTTAACATTGCAGATTAGCTTGCAAAGCGAACGGTCATACCAACTTCCACGCCATGTGTACCGAAAAAGCTGTTTTTTAAAGTAGTGGTAGTACTCGGATCTGATTTGAAACCAATAACATTACCATTCTTATCTTTTTCTGCTTTAGAAGTTGCAAATTTATCAAAATTACCGCCAATAACACCGAAGTGTCTGTACCCAATATAGATATCTGTATCCTTATTTACTTGATAATTAAGCCCAGCC